ACTTCATTTTCAAAAATCTTTCTATTACGAGCAATCCAAAGGAAGTATACCGTAGACGCGAGCCCGGCCTTTGTTGCTTTTGTTCTCCAACCGGAGCCTTGAGATTCCTTCTTAATCCACTTCAATGCACTCTTTAGAGTGGGGAGTTGTCGCCTCAATCCTAGCCAATGCCGAATGGTAAGCCACACTTGGGCCGAAAGGGGGCAAGTGAAAAAGAGATGATCGTTTGTCTCGGAAAAATAGGAGATTTCTTTTATTTTTTAACAAATCCTTTTCAGAATCTCTCCACACCTGGTTCAAGAAATCTGAGACTAACCCTATATAATAATAAAGCATCACCTTTCCAATCCTTGAGTGTAATTTTCTTATTCTATTGAGTACAGTTGATGTGTATAGAGTATTTATAATGAACTGTAAGGGTGGGTTTGGTTAGTTTGTCTTTGTTATAGGGCATGATTGTATCATAAATGCGTTTCCCTCGACATATTCCTCATTATGTTTGTCAAACACATAAACGGGCACCACAATAACATAGGAAACGAAAACTTGGGGAGCATTTAAAAATAAGATATAAGATTGTCGAACACAAAAACTCGATCAAATCTGGTGCAACTGCTATTAATCAAAGTATCACACTAAATTTAGCACAAGAGTATTCGTCACACTCCATTAACGTTTACAAGGATGACAATGATGTCCCGGAGAAAAATTCGGCCACCCAAAATTATATGTACTCAACTAAAAACTCTACAGCCACAGATAAAACTTGAGTCGTACAATCTTTGTTCTAATCAGGTGGGCTTAGTCCAGGTTGTTTCTGATGTCCGCACATTTCCATAGTAGACTTGCTTCGAAGAATCATCCCAGTAAACCTGATAAAGAGTATAAGGACGCCAAAAAACATCATGTTCTCTAATCAAATCAATTTTCCCATAAAGATGAATTAGCAGCTGAGAAGGTATAAAACGGCCAGAAAAATGTTTCATGGGAAAACAACAGATGGCACAGACGAGCAAGGTGACCTTAGACGAAGAGGTAGAAAACGGGAAGCTTTGATATTGTTTTCAACGACCAAATCTTAGTTTTGAATAGCATCTGTTTGTGGTATAGTTTAAAGAAGACAGAAAAGATTGTGTTCAGATTAAAGAAGCAAGAAATCCTTCAGCCAACAAGGAGCAGATCCCACCCGCAAGAAAACACAAGTAAAAGCCAAAATTGTAATAGCTTAAGGGCAACAGTATTTGCTAATCTATATTTCAAAATTGTCCCATATATACAAGTTTGGAAAGAGTTTCTCACTGGTTCTTTAACCCATGTATACTAAACAAAACAAAACAAAAGAAATAAAACAAAAAAACAAAAGAACTTTTCAAATCATAGCATCAATATTTTAAAGGAACCGTACATGGACTTAATATTGTCTTGGAGTGGCATATAATGATACAAATTGCATATAATCCTCCCAAGTTTTTCATAGCTAAACGACGCTAGAATTTTCTCAAACCACTTGGTCAAGAGAATCGTATTATCTCGCCCTTTAGCTTTCACAGGCCAAGGCCAAACTTACAGAGAGAATGGACGAGCAAGCATCATCAGGCTTTAGATTTATAACAGATAAATAGTTATTTTCAAAACCCACACGGCATATATTTATGAAAACTATCTCTCGACATACCAACTAATTTATTTGCTCCAATCACTTGCCACCTCTTTCTCATAGAAAAGGAGTTCAACATTACCTGCCATCCAGATGGAAGACCTTTAGATAGTTCCACTAGATCAGGTTTCTGACTTCCATCTGTAGCAACATCTGGTGAATTTTGTTCGTTTTCCTTCATCCTTTCGGCCCTTTTACGCTTCACTCGTTCTCGCCTGCATGACAATGAAGTGTCATAGATATACATAAATGAGTGAACACACAAGAAGGAACTAAGAACCATGAAAAATGAAAACATAATCCAGCCCCTATTCATGTGGAAGGTGGTCAAAGGGTTTCCCAGCTGTTGAAGATTCTGCAGAAGTCTAAATCTATAACAATCAAATTTAGAATCATAAATACTATATTTATAGGATCAATACCAATCACCACCCAACGGCTGAAAATTAGCATTCTCTTTGGCTTCCCCACTAGCAATTTGTTGTGCTCGCCACGCCTGCATTACTAAGGAAGTTAAAAACAAGGGTTAAGAAGTAGCAATGAACAGATCATCAGCCGCGTATACAAACCTCTATTTCTCTTTTCTTTTTCCTCTCTAGGATTTCAAAAGCGTCTTCAGGTTCTTCTTCCCTCTCGTGCAGCTCCTCTTTTGCTGCTTTCCACTGATCGGAAGGTACAAACAACAATTGTGAGAATCATGAGAACACAAGATGTCAAAATCCACCTAACCACGGAAATGAACTGAAGATAACCTTGTCTACCAGACTGGAAACTTTTTTGTTAGATCTCAATGTGGTTGCCACCGCAACAGTCCGTTTCTTGCCACGCAGCACTGAGAATGATAATGGGGAAAAAACAAATACACATCAGATGCCTACCAAGAAATACAAGAAAAGAAAACAATATTACCTGTTAACAAGCAAAACCTTCCAGTTTCAGTTATAAACATTGGCTAAAATAAGTTGTTTCCAAAAATCAAGAATAAAATGTGCCTTACAACTATTACCCTTAGATTGAGATTTAGAAGAGGCAGAAGCCGCAGCAGCAGGAATCAATGCGGTGGTGTCAGATGTTGATGGGACAAAAACACCATTCACAACTGAGGAAGTTGCCGGAGCTCCAGTGGAGAAATACGCTTCCTCAGAAGGGGCCTCAACCATGGTATCACCTGACTTGGTAACAGTAAGATTAGTCTCTAGCACCAAATTGGACCCAGCTTCTGGGTGGTAATCCATGGTTACCGCTGCACCAGGGTCCATAGTTTCCGAAGTAGGCACCCCCATGCCTGAAGACTTGGGAACACCACTAGCTAGCGGAACAGGATTCAAGGTTCCATTTTGAAGGCCATAGTATGTTGTAGGCCCAACAGGGTTCGCCACTGGAGGAGCAACGGCATAAATGTTTGTAGCTGCTTCATAGTAATGTGGTAAGTGGGCAACAGCTAACTGCCCTGCTTCAGGGTGCGTATATTGAGCAGTGCCCGGAATTGGAAGGGTTGTTTGCCCATAATATCCAATACTAGAAACAGGGTATGATAGAGTATAATGTTCTGGGTAAGTTAACGGTTGAACTGAACCCAGATGAGATACCGAAGGATATGAAGATTCTGGAGGCTCATCTGGCGGCGGAGGAGGGAAAGGATCATCATCTGGGGGTGGGGGAGGAAACGGTTCATCGTCTGGGGGTGGTGGCGGAATCCACTCTTGAACAGGAGGAGCAACACCAGGTTCTTGCCCTGGCGCAAAGGATGCCTGGTCTGCAAGTGTATGGTGCATATTTGGTTGCGCAGTCGACGCAAGATAATGAGCATCAGATGCACCTCCATGCAGACACTTAACTGAAGATGTATCATCGACTTCCATGTCCACATCCATGTCCATATCCTCAGCAGAATGAAGGGCAGGTATGGAGGATAATTCGTTATTCTCTACATTTCGAGTTAATTCATTTTTTCCATCCATTTCCTTGTCGGTGGATACACGTCCGATGGTAGTAGCGATATCATTTTTAGCTCCATGATTTGGCGTCCTGAATGTGTACTCAGGGAGAGACACTGCGGCAGTAAATTGTGCCTTCTTTTCACTAGGGCCAGTTTCAGTTTCACCATCGATTCCTTCACATGATTCTAATGCAGCCCCAGACTCACCCAGGGCTTTGGAGTGGCAAGATTGCACGATACCATCTACAGCAGCTTCAAGTTGTTTAATCTGACCCTCAGAATGCAGCCAAAATGGCAGTAAGGATAATCCATGACATGCTAATGCCTTAATGTCAGCCAGTCTTGTCTCAATTTCCACTGTGTACTTCATTTTAAGATCTCGACATTCTAGAAGGCCATTCAACCTGAAAAGGTAGATGCAAGGGGAGGGGAAAGAGAAAGGAAAGGAAACTAAAAATCAGTGACAAAAACAACATGAGGGGAAAAGAAGTTGATGAGCACATATCATTTATGTAAGGGAATAGCACTCTTGTGCTTTTGCCAATATAGTTCTAACTGAAATTATAATACAAAATTCCAGGTATGGGGAGAGGGAAACCAGCCATTTCGAGTACCCTTTCACAGATTTCAGTCTCTCTAATAGGCTTTCACAGTTCTCTATCAGCTCCAAAGAAGGATCAGTAAAGTCGTCCCTACTGTTTCTTTCCACAGAATGTCTATCAGGCAAGGATACTTCACTGCTTTGGCTCACATCTCTGTTACATTCTTTATCTTCAATAGATTCTCCTTCTATTCCCTCGATGGATCCATCTATTTTCGTCCCTTGATCAGCAAGGTCACTGGTATCGGTCATGGAAAGTTTCTTAGCAGCCATATCACCTTCATCCATATCTACCGATGTTCCACATTTGCATGGGCCAATCGCAGCATCCACTTTCCTTTCAGCGTCTTCAATTTCTTTCTCTGTGGTCGTAACACTTGCCTGGGTCAAAACATCTGGTACTTCCCATGACGTTTCACCCGTGGCAATGTTCCAGTAATAGTACTGACCACTCTCATCATGTAATACCATCTTCCAACAAGAACTCACATCTCCAACTGGATCAGGTGCAGCAGGAGATGTGGTTACTTCGATATTATTTGTTTGCTTCTGCAAATTATTAGAACCAATTTCTGCAGTGCTATTCTCAAGTTTCTCTGAAGAGTCCAAATGTTGTCCCATAGGAAGGTCATGATTATTCTCTCTATCCTCAGTTTCTTCACTAGCAGCAATTTTTCCCTGAGATGACAAGAATAACGCAAAAAAAAAAAAAAAATCACAATAGGAGAAAGATCAAGAAGTTAAGAAAGAGTAAGGCCATATTACTTAAATAAATCCCACTAGTGAATCTTGCGGCACACATGGCAAGAAAACTATGGATACCACTAGGAGCAAAGATAGTATAATGCTTGTAAAATCACCTCATCATCAATGCCAATAAAAGCACCCTCTGTGGCAGCATGATTATGTCTTTCACTAGACCCAGCATCCAACTCATCATCACTATATTGCTCAAGCAACAGGAGAGGGTTGACTGGTTGTGGTCCTGCAAACAAGATACTACAATGTCAAACACCACAAAAAACCTAAATAACTGCTTCCAAATCACAGTAAGGTATCTGTAACAAGACAAAATGCAGTAAAACTATAGCATTGCAAAGAAACAGTCAGTAAAACAACAGTATAAAAAGCTAATTTAACATAGATGCCAAATGTGAACGCCGCTGAGTGGGACCATCGCACCTGTGGCAGAAATTTCATCCATTAGTATCACAAAAAGGAAATAAAGCTAAAGACATACGAACCGATTTGGCAAGATCAATCCTTGTGATCTCCAAACTGCCCTCAGTGCCATCATAAAAGGGGAATAGGACCAAAGTTTACACAACAACACGCTGTGGCAGGAGGCTGGTCCTAGTCCGATAACCATCTGATCTGATCCCAATACCACAGCCATCCTACTATCTGAGACTGATAAGAAAATTTTCTCGAAGCGCAAATAACATGTCTTGCACATAAAAAGACCCAATAATTTCCATCAATATTATGTGTTCACATCATGTCTTCCCTACAAAGAGCAGTCCTTTGAAGAAAACTGACGGAACCCACCTGAAGATGAAGGTGAACTGGTTGCATGAGATTTGGGATCACCATCCCCTCCAACTTGTTCCTTGCCAGAAGAACCACCCACATCTCCTATGTAAGGTTCACATACACACAGAAAAAAAAAAGGCATACAAGATTTAGGGCCCCTTAAATATTGTAATTTGCAGGAAAAAAAAAACATTTAGTAAGACTGTTCTCCTATCTGAGAAGCAAAAACAAAATTTTTAGAACTAAGATCCACAAGGAAACCATTTTACAATACAATCACACCACATGATCCAATATTCAGTAAAATCAGGTATCACTAACTGTTGCTTCAGCTACAGTGGAATCAAATTAAACATTTCAAAATCAACTCTTTCAATTTATGTAACAGGATGTAAGAAAACGCATTAATTCGAAGTTACTTAATCCGATACCGAATTACGCAACACCGCCAAATTTTCAAAACTGCGAACTCAATAATCCTAATTCAATAAATTCAACATCCGAGCTGCCACATTAATCCAAACTTTCAACTTACCAGAGGGTTCCGCTAACAGATCGAGCTTAACTCTACGGCCAGCAGCGTTAATTGCAGCGAGTCGACGCTCCTTTCGCCTCCCCATCCGAGCAACTATTTGATAAAAAATCCGAACGAATGACAAAATGATCAAAGCAAAAATCGAAGTAACGAGATTTATCGAAGAAGAGAAAACACAACGAATGAGTTGAAAGTTGCGAAGCCCTAGAGCGATTGTGCGAGGTAGACCGACGCCAATACTAAACGGGTTTTTGTATATTCTGCGTAGTAGTGTTGCAACCATTGTTATCAATACCGGACCGGACGGCCGGTTCGCCCGGTTGGACCGAGAAACGGACCTAGTACCGGTCTAGTTTGCATGTTTAGGCCGGTGGAGCAAGAACCGGTATCGAATCGGTCGAACCGGTTCAAAACCGGTAAAACCGGTGAACCAGTACCAATTAGACCGGTCGAACCGGTTCTGAAAATTAAAAAAAAAATAATGAAATTAAAAAATAAAATAAAATATATTGATTATGGTAAACTATACTTAAAATATTATTTTAGTGAACTTTATTTAGTATTGTTTATGGTAAACTATATTTAAAATATTGATTTTTCAACTCTTATTTAGAAAAATATCATTATATGCTATAAAATTAATAATAAATATATATATAATTATATATTATACATATTAAAATAAATAAATAAATTATATATTAGTTAAACCGGTTAGACCGGTTCGACCAATGGTCCGACCATTGATCCATTGAACCAGTAGCTTCACCGGTTCGATGACCGGTCCGGTTTTGAGAACATTGGTTGCAACCGTGTCTTTAATGATATAATATCTATTTAAATATTTTCATTTTTATTTTTCTAATTTATTTCATAAGTATATGAATATTATTAGTTTTTAGTTTATAAAATAATATAAAAATCTAATATTTAAAATCCTCCCTATATATAATTTCAGAATGCGTTGAGTCTACGTGGCTGCTTCTGGTGCTTCGGAATCCTATTTGGCGAAGAATCATGCTTCGTAATTAGGTTTGGATAAATAATATTAATATATTAATAATTAATAATTTAGGTTCGGGTATTCCATAAATATTATTTAGCTAACTTAGGTATTTTAGTATCACTTTTACTAATATAACCCTTTAATTCTTTGTAATTTTATATAGTGAGGCACTAAGTGACTAATATATCCCTGAATTTTGATTTGTTTCATTCAATCCTATATATCCTATATATAATTTCAGAATGCGTTGAGCCTACGTGGCTGCTTCTGGTGCTTCGGAATCCTATTTGGCGAAGAATCATGCTTCGTAATTAGGTTTGGATAAATAATATTAATATATTAATAATTAATAATTTAGGTTCGGGTATTCCATAAATATTATTTAGCTAACATAGGTATTTTAGTATCACTTTTACTAATATAACCCTTTAATTCTTTGTAATTTTATATAGTGAGGCACTAAGTGACTAATATATCCCTGAATTTTGATTTGTTTCATTCAATAAGATATTGAAT